GTAGTTGTCATATAAAAGGAAATATTTGTTGCGCTATGAATTATATGATTAAATAATCTTTCTTTATGAGAATTTTAAGGTAAAATATAATTTTATATGTGTTACTAAATTTATTGATAATTTATTTATCAATCACTGTATATATCTGAGCCTTTATCAATCTGTCTCTCTGTTTTTTTCTCTTTTCACTTTATTAAATTTGTATCTATGTACAATTGTCTTGAGTTCATTATTCAAAGTTGAAATATCGAATTGAGACATTTTTTTTTCGCGGAAAAAGAATTTTTTTTTTATTCAACAGATCAAATTTATTCTGAAGTAGGTAATATACATTTTCTCTTCGTATTGTAGTAATGATCAAATAAAAAAGTAATTCAGACATTCTTGATCTTATTGATTAGTCTTTTGTTTTATATGTTGAAATAACCTTGCGGCTTTGTTTTTTTCTTTTTTATTAAAAAGGTCAAGTCTTGAATATCGTTTTTCTGCTGATAGTCATGAACGTTTGTCTTTGTTTATTTTATGGTTGCACTTGACCAATACCTAGATTTGATTGCTTTCTTATTTAGTATATGATCTGGTGATCGTAGTGACGACGACAAGAAGTATATTTTGTTATTGACTGCCACGTCTCAGTATTCGAGTTTCTTTCTTCTTTCTTCTTTTCTTTTTCTTTATGCATTTATCGTTCTCAATTTCATTCTTTTTTCTAAATGCAAAACGCCTACTCCCGAACAAAGTCAAGTGTTCAGTGCCAGCACGATCGTTTGTACGCATTAAATCAAGACAATAGTGATGTGGCGATAGTTAAAGAACAGGAAAAAAAAATGACAAGTGTACTAATAATGGTCACCATCACCACACTAAGTAGAGAAACATAGGCATCAACTAAACATGTATGATCATTATTTAGTGTTGTATGTTATTCTACTGTATATGCGTGTGCGCGACAAATGCACACACCTACATTTGTATATTGCGTAAATGTAAGTTGAAAGAAAAGAACATAAAGTAGACACGAGATTATTAGACAGTAAGTTGGATAGAATAAGGACGAAGGTCAATCAGTTAGATCACTTCTTGTTTTTTTTTCTGTATTAGAACTATTTTACTTGATGTTCATTTAGTTGAATGTAGTACAAAAATAAAGAGGTGTTGATTGTCACCTATCGCATAGCAAACAATGATTATCATCATATATGTCCTAAAAATAGGTCATTGAATATATTCATCAAGATCATTAATGGTTAACGATCTATTCTCCGACAAAGAATACACGGATCACTTGATCAATGATCGCTCTTTTTTTTACTGTTCATCCTACAAGTTCTGCATGAATAAAAAAAAAACATGTAGATTTACATGTATATGTTGACATGTAGACAGAATGAAAATTTCCGGAGTCTATATCGATAATTACAAGTAATATATATGGATGAAACTAGACATGACCATTGACCTTCTCTATCAACAACTACCACCTCCTTCTATTCATGAATCGCCTGCTTGTCATTTGTAATAGCGACTGATCACATTCACTTGTGATGTTTCGGATGTGAGTGATATAGAGACACTAATCATTCATTTATACAAACTATTGAGGTTAGATAAACAATAGACCTTCAAGTAAACGAAAGAAGCACGATCTAAGTATAGTTTTCGTATATTGCGTGTTTTTTTTTCTTTTCAATCGTGTTTGACCGTAAAGAAGCAAGTTTAAGTGTCGAACAAATGAAAACGCAAAAAAAAAACCAAGTAAGGTATGTTATTTTATTCTTGTTACTTCTTTCGTTCGTAATGCATGTTAACTTGAGATGGAACATACACAAAAAAAACTGTTGACACATTTACTTCATATAAAACAGCGACATAGAAAGCGAGAAGAAAGGGAAGAGAGAGAGAGAGAGAGAAAAAAATCAATTTTTCTAGAAGCATGCAAAATTAAAAAAAGAAAAGAACAATATGGCATTACTATGATTAGTATGTTTCTTGTTTCTCTCACACTTTCGCATCAATAATTTCCACATTTTTGTTTTTTTTTCTTTATATTGTCGGTTTAATATGATCAAACGAAGTAGTAATACGAAGAACTGACCAGTGAATGTCTGGTCGACCTTTTTTACCATCTAAAGCTATTGTACCGACATAGCATTCTTCTTTCTCTTTTTCTCTCTCTCTCTCGCTCTTTCTATTCTCTTGTCCATAATTACCACATCACGCACAATGAGTGAAACCTGATGGTAGCTGTCGAACGGTCAGTCAGACGTATGTATATACTTGCGCGTGAGGAGTGCTCTGTTTTTCAATCGTCTACGATGCAACTAGCAAAGTGCTATTGCTACTGTTAACATAGACTATGTATGTATTGCCAAAGGGCTTCGCATGGCGACGCGACGTCAAAGAAGATGAATGATAGAATAATAGTCTATATGGTCCTTCTTCATTATGTTTTCTATACACATGTCATTTTTGTCTTTGATATCATCTATATACAAAAGAGACAAAGAGAGAAAGACTAATTGTTCAGATATTTGTTCTTTTTTTTTATCTATGTGCTATCATAGACAATACGAGATAATTTGAACAACAAAACGCTTGTTTGTATTTGCTATCTGAAAGGTGAGAAAGCTTTTGTAAGCTGAACAGAATGTCTGTCAATTTTGACAGTTTTTAGTCATTGTTTAATAATTCTATTATATTCTTTATAAGAAGAAAAGGCTTGTGCGATTTTTTTTCGCATTCATTATCACACATGATGGAAAGAAGGCTGTATAGTGAGGGAATATAGACAGGTGACATAGTAGTATTCAAATAAACTTTTTTAATCTTGATTTCATTTGTTTATGACCAACCACGGAATAGCGAGACAAGACAAGAGAATCGATATTAGAATGGTAAGTATAGATAGTCATTTGTCAAGTATCTTTATAATCATCAGTCGACAGAGAATAAGTTCAATTGACTTTTCTAGATGACTACTATACATTTTACGCCTTGTGAACTTATCTTAAAAATTGGTAGTAATGAATGTGATGAAATTTCTACAGCAATAAGTAGTCTTCTTCGTACATGTTCTATAAGTGAACAATCATTTTTCGTTATTGAACGTCAAATACAACCAACAACCTATTATGGTTCATTCACAAGTCAATCATCACCATCAACATCTTTACCCATTCAATCTCAATCTTTAAGCTGTGTTCTTCTTTTAACTGATGATATAATTAAACAACAACAACTTATTCGTCCATTACCAGTATCTACAACAAATAAAGCTTCATCAATTATTTTACCCAAATCGAAACATTTTTTTAAATCGACACATATATGGAATTTTCATCATAAAATTGAATTATTAGACGAAAATAAACAAGCTTTGGCTAGGCAAGATTATTATGAATTATCATATTTTTTACCATTATGGTCTGTATCACATATTCCAAATAGTCGACAACCTATTATACGTTTTAATATATTTACTCAACATTTTGAAACAATGTTAACATTTTATACACGTTTATTTCAACGTAAACCTGATTCAAGTAAACCAGGTTTTGTACTTTTCATTTTACCATCATCACCACATATAAAAATAATTTATCAATTTTCAATTAAATATTCACCATCAATTCAACCATATACAATTGCTCAAAGTGCATATTTTAAATTTCGTTTAAACAATTTAGATCATTTTATAAATGAATATTCAAGCAAATTATTTACATTAAATAAATTTGAATACTATATTTATGATCCAGATGGTAATCTTCTTCATTTACATTTGTATGATTTATCAAATGTAAAAAATATTGAAGAATCAAATCATTTAAAAACATTATTTCATACAAATGATAGTGGAGTTGGTGACAGTAGTGATCCACCAACAGCACAATTATTTAGTTCAACTGTACCACAAGGTTATAAACCATTTTATCCGATAAATAATGTAAAACAACAACAACAACAACAACAACAACAGCCAATAACAGTTAATGCTGATATTGATGTTCAGAGTCACTCATCTCAATCATCACATGATTCAGGTCGTTGGAGTTCAATATCATCAAACGAATTAAATTCAATGAATCGCATTAAACGAACAGTTCATCAGATTCCAATTACAATTGTGAACAGTAATACGTCAACATTAGGAGCAAGACCAAAAAAAAATGAGAATCATCTCGAAGAAGCTATTCATAATTATAGATTAAAACAAGAACAAAGAACAGGTTTGAAGTCAATAAAGTTTTTGTGAAACCTAAAATATAAAATTTTATGAAAACCGACAGATTCTCAATATAACCACTAGTTACCTGCTCTATCCCGTAGTCATCATAATTCGACAAGTGTCAACAAGGTACTGCATGCAAACCTTAGCACCACCAACCATGGCATGATCCTAGACAAGTTACTAGTAGCTATTTGTCTCGAATTATCCCTTCGATAACATGCTGACTGCGTTGTGGCATACACTTTCTCTTATGATCTGAGTGTGTGTAAGAAAAAATTCTGCGTCAGACTGGCGTTCAGTTCAGAGTTACAGCTAGTCATAGTTGTAGGAAAGATATTGACCGATCGACTTTACCGCTAAGCAGTTTCCCATATCACAAGGTAGTTGAGAGTCAGTCTTTCTACTCAATACCAGAGCCTGTTCCAGTGACTCTTAATCCGAACTAGGACTCCAGTGGATCAAAAGCTAAGACAACATTCGATATATATATGATAGATGTAATAAACTAATTTTTTTTTCTTACGCGTTCTATTCAGAATGAAAATTCATTTTCAATTTATTAGAATAGTAATTAGAACAAAAAAAAATAAACTTCTTTTTTTTATAGTATTATCTACATCGAGTTATTAATATAAATAGTAAAGAGTAACCAATTAAGTATAATCTGTTAGGTTGATCGAGTCCCAGTAGAAAAATTCGAATTCAATGTATTCTACCCAGCATACAGTAATAATTTCACAGGATTGTTCTCGTCTCTTATAACTTACAGACAAGCTCTGATTTTAAACCAAATAAATCTGTCCGATGGTTTGATTTGATTTACAATTTTTTTTTAAATTGAATTTCATGATAAATTTTTATTTATCTTAGTACTACCTCGTGTTAGTCTAAAACAACAAGAACAAACAAAAAGTTCATTATATGATAGCGAGCCACGTTTATCAAATGTAACAAGTGTCAATAATCGATATTATTCATCAATGAGTGATGTTCAAATGAAAAGTCGTATTCGTCCTTTTACAACTAATCAACCAAAATCAGTAAATTCAAATCATTTTCAAACAATAATTGATCATGATTGTGATATTTCATATGAAGTTGATTCTCCACGTATACAAACAGAGACATCATCAATAGGATATCTTAATGCATTTTTATTAAAAAAACGACAACAACAACTACAACAGTTACATTCAAATCATTCATCAAATGTTCAACAATTAATTGCTCAATTCGAACAGCCAAACCCAATAACAATGACTCGACGACCGTTATCAGCTCCATTAGTTGATCAAATTATAAAACCTACTAAAGGTATTTTACAACGACGTATTAATGGTACAATAACACCTATATCAAATAAATCGTTACGAAAACGTTCAAAATCTGTTACTTTTGAATGTCATAGTGATGATAATAATACATCAAGTACAGATGATGATAAAGTTAAAAATCTAATTGATCATTCACGAAGTCCACGAATTAATATTGGTATTACATTAGATTCTCGTCTAAGAAAAACACCTGTACTTGATATGTTAAGAAGTACAACGATGGAATCAGATTTAATTGAACCTCGACAATTAAATAGGACAACATCATTAAGACAACCATATTTGCCAATGGCTCGTTTTTAAATATTTTTTTTTTTTTGTTGTAAATAATAAAAGTTTAAACGATAATCTGATAACAAAATTGATATAGCCTTCAATTTTTCTTGGGAACATTTTCTTTTGTATTTATATGTCATTGACTATGCGTATTGAAAATGTTGTCAAGGAAAAAGCTGAATTTTGTCGTTCTATATCAGTAAAAACTAAGGAGAACAATGGTAACATACTACGTATTTTATCTAATATAAAAGTTTAACTTAGCATCAATGTTACCATTTGCAAAAATAGGTTATCTCAAGTTTTAGCATATTCTTCGGAAGTTTATGTTTTACGGAGTATTTACCCATACTCTTCTTTTTTTCATTTCAGAATTTTATCTTTAATCAAGAGATAATTGTATTTTACATGTTTCTTTCAAATAAATATTGTTCAAATTATTGAACACATTTTAAGTAGTAATAAAATTAATGATTCAAAGATAAGTAAAGATACATCCATGTTCTTGTCAAATTCAATATTATAGTGGTTAAATTGTTCAACAGTAACCATTTCAATGACAAACTTATCTGCTACATTAAGAACAAGTTTTCTACTAGAAAATACCATAAGCCTTTTTAAACTTTACTCGTTATATATTCCAATTCGAGAGACCAGTTGATGCTACTATTGGTTTACTCCTAGTCAAATTTCAAACTTAATATGACTTTTCGTAGCTCAACGATATGTCAATTAAAAAATAATTGATAGTTTAGGTAGTGAACTTAGGAGCAATGATGGTTTTGAAAATGTTATTTTTAATTGCACACGTCATTATCCTTATCCGATAGCACCTTTTCTAAGTGTTTTTATTTTCATGCAGTCTTGTCATTCTAATAGATATTGTTTTGTATCATAAAATTTTGATGATTTTAATGATACATTGATTTAATGCATCTATCAATTTTCTATATGTACTTTATTAATGAATCTTTGAATAGAGTTCTTGTAAGGTATTATTAATAATTAAAATTAATGAATATATACTTTAAAAGAATGAAAAATATTAATATTATTCTTTCGTTATATTTTAATGTCATAAAAGGAGAAAGAAATGATCTATAAGAAATGTTAAAAAGATCACTAAAGTCCAATGAACATATTCTTTTTATTTAGAAAAAAATTTTCAAGGTGTTATATATATGATACCACATCGGTTGTCTAAACAATCGATTCGATGAATATTTTTTGAAGATACTTTTGGTGTCGGACAAATTCATCCAGGAAGACATGGAATCCAATAAATTAAGTCACCTATATTTGCATAATAGCAAGCAGCGCAGATTACATATAGTGTAGCGAAAACAAGTCCCGCACTAGCTGTACCAATTGCGTAGTCAACAGATGATTCATCGGATTCTCGACAGTATCAAGCTTTACAATATTTTCCACTGTTACACAATAATCACTAAGCTCGGTTCAAAATAGTATGCATATTTGAGAATTATCAAATTCTATTATTATCTGCTCTACAAATATTATACAAAAGTGGATTCTTCATTGAGCTTCTAAAAGCCTGAAGGGCATATAGTACATTGCTGTTGTCCTCCAGTATTGAATGTTCTTGGAACATATCTGATGAGTGGGTATTACAAAATTATTACATTGATAACCACGTAGGTAAATATACACTGAAAATCACTATTGCAAGCGCTGTAATTTCGGACGCTATATTTTTTGACATTCTATTTGATCAGGAAGACTCATTAACATACGAGATTGGTATGGTTCTGATACTTAACGAGTATCAGGATACTGATGATCTGCTAAACAAATCACACAACAAGTTCAGTCAATATCGGTTTCATAACAATCATTCACACAACTTATGTATACCATTTGTTGAAAACCATTATTAATACCAACAGAAAAGGGTTGGCTATATCATTTGTGACTTTCAAGTATTCATATATTTTTTATTTACTAGGTGCACATTATTTGGAAATTTCAGCTGAATTATTATAGTAGAGTGTGATATCAGATATTATCTACACACATTACTATATTTGGTATATGATCACCAGATTTATATGACACACAAGTGGTTTATCCTTTCGATGAATCAGCGATGCTCAAAGAACAGAAAACGAATGATTGGATAGCATCAACACAACAATAATCTTCAATGAGAAAGAAAACTGTTATTTATGTTGACAACTGTAACCCGCATGCGTAAAAAAACTATTGAGCCAATCAAAAAAAATAAAATATTCAACGTAATTTTTAACTTTCTATATTTCAATAACACTTCAATATCTTTTTAATCTTAGACAAACAAAACATTTTATCGAGTCGACGTTCTTCACAAAGAGTTTTTCCCAAAAACGTTTGATAAAGACTAATTTTACATGGAGTACATCCTGATGTTTCTAAGAGACTAAGCGCATTCATTGGACATGCGCTTGGGGTCCGATACTTCGAGTCACATCACAATATTATCCAACAGAACAAGCTTCAATTATGACAAATGCCTGACTGTTTAAGAAGAATAGAGTTGTTATGTAATGAACAATATAAGTATACATAAAATAATAGCTAATAAGAATCGATTTCTTATCATGTAAAACTGTTTGATTACATCACCTCTGCAGTAGAAGTAAACTTTTCTTTTTTAATATCAAGAAAAATTATCTATATCAGAAAGAAACAAATTAATTCTATTTTCTTTCAGCAATATACTGATTTATTTACCTCGAAAAAAAATCAATCACTACAATATTATTTCAATTTAGTCGTTAATTAATGCATTTTTATTTTCGAAGAAAATAATGAATGGATTTTGAATTCGTTGTCCTCTATTTATTTGATCATACATTTGATCTTGTTCCATATATCTAAATGACTTCATATAAAAGAAACATTTCGAATGTATGTGAGATATAAATAAAACGAGACTATCGAGCTTCTAATAAAATATATTGAATATCTTTTTTTGTACAACAGGTTTATTTGGATGTTCTGATAGCAATGAATGATCATAGACTTCATGTGTAAGATCAATATTTCTATATATCATCGTCATATTTGTATGATAAGAAGGAAATGAGTCAATTTAAACTTTTAATGAACGATTAAAATGTATTGAAGCGCAATTATAATAACCAAACCAAACATAAATAATACTCTTATGATTATAATATCTAGTTTTATTTGAATGATCTCATGGTTAATATTTACTTTTGATTATCAATCATTTCTTTTTGAAGCATCCCAAAGCTTGTGATTATCTGTTTTTGGTTCATGGTAACTGTCAGTATCGTTATAATATAATTAAAGTCTTTTATAAGTATTTCTCATCTTCTGTTTGTTGACAGCTTTCTATACCATTATAATACCATTCCAAAGCGTCATAATGATCATTTTTTTTTTCCACAAAAAAATTTCTATAGAATTGATCAAAGTTTCGAAATAAACAAAAATCACATAGATTTACTCATTGTTTTTTTTTCTAAAGAGTTTTGAAACTACTGATAACTGGACTCATAGTTAGCTGTTTGTATAATAACTAATTCAAATGAATGATAGAGATGACAAAGTGAAGTATGTTTTTCACTCTAATTCAGTAAGCATTTTACGATAAAATTTTTTCTTTCGACGTAAGATTTGACCGAATTCAAATAGATCGATGTCATTATCACTACAACTATATTCTTTCTTTATACATTTAAAAAGCTATTTTCTTTTTAGATTTATTTTCATTATCAATATATAATTCCACCTGAATTGAACATATTAGATTATTATCTCGTTGAATTTTATCAAGCCAAAATATACAATCAATCGTAAAGAATACTTCTGATTTGTAAGTGAAACAATCATATCAGGTGATCAATACTATTTGATTGATTTTCATGAGAATTTAGTCATTACTTGAAAAACAAATGACATTTTTCACCACAATAAACATAAATTTAGCTCTACTATATGGATTTTCTTGAAAGATCCTAAACGTCTCCACTAAGATTTTATAGGTGGGCTTGTAAATTAAACATATCCGTATGAACTTGTGCGCTGATCCCAAGTAGAGAAAATGATACGAGATTAGCATCATCTGAATGAATATCATTGTTGGATATTACTGCTATAGTCGTTTTTGGAACAATATAGAAATAACAGCTTTAGTAGAAAAGATAATGTATATATAGGTTGTGGTCAAAATTGAAATTCATTCAAATCCGAAATTGGCATAGACAGAATTGAAATTTTATTTGACGAACAAGAAAAGTACAATCTTGATAACAAAGAATATAAGTGTGGATAGAATAGAGACCTTGCCTTCATCCACATGCAGGTCCAAAACCAAACAGACACACAATACATCTAATCTTTTATTGTTCGTCAGTTGAAGCATCAAATATTTATAGAACATTTGTATTACTAAATCAGAGGTGCAGAATCTGCCGTAAAAATTTCCCCGTGTAGAAAAATAGAGAAAAGAGTTCCTTTGTTGGAGCATGCATCTTCAGAAAATATAACATCAAGAACGAGATGCTAGTATGATACCAAAAACGATCGCGACGTAAAACAAACCAAAATTATTTTGATTATAATTAACTCCTATGCAATGAAAGCTTAAACGAGTGATGATGTGAAACTACAACAGCTTTAACGAACTTTCAATCATCGAATTCGGTAAAAGTCTGGTGACACAATAGAAGACTATTGCTTTGTATTGGTAGTTTTCATATCACTCTTCTCGAAGCGGTCTTCTTATATGGATGCATTTTTGAGAAATTTTTGGATAACTTTTTTATGTAAGAAAAGTCTTGTAAGTGTAAAAAGATCATTGCGAGTAAAATCTTTGTCTTACTTTGGACAACCTTTCGATTTCCAGGTTAACGGTAACTAAGAAATTTGAAAACTTTCAGTCTTAGCGGAAATCAATAATAAAAATATTTTGATCTTCTAATCCGTCTTTTCGATCGTTTTCTAGGCACGGGTCTTTTATTGCGCGAGAAAGACTTTGTCAAGAATTATATTTGCAAATG